ATAATCCTCGGTCCAACCGATTCACCCAATCCAGCACCTAGAAACTGGACATCACGGTCTCTTGAATACCTGATAAAGCAGCTATATTCTTATGCATCCAGTGGCAAGGCACCCCTACCTTACCTAATTTAGTTCTATAGTCGCAGCGGCAAGTGATGGTCGCCCTTTTTTTTCCAAGTAGCCCTAGATCAGAGTAGAGGTTGATGTGAACCTTTAGACCGCAGCAGTAGTTCCTTAGTGACATTGGATTTAGCCTTGCATCGCAAGCCTTTGGATTTCTAAGGTAGTTTCAGATAGTTCGATTAGTCGTGACCGTTCGTGTTAGGGTAGTAGTTCCATAGTCACAACTAGTGAAGTAGTTGAGCCTTGAAAGCTTACTTACCATTACCAAACTTGCAATCGTCAGTAGCCTACATAATGGCTCGATTAGTCGAGACCGTTAGTCCATCTAGGGTCTTCCTTAGAGCAAAGTTTAGCTGGCGCCCAGCAAGACAAAGATCAAATTTCGACAGTTTAACACCTACTGCTCAGTAAATAAAAGACTTCCCTTCATCAAAATCAAATAGTATAGTTATAGTAAGGAAGCTCATTTCATTAGCCTTCCTTACAAATAGAAGGTCTAACCCTAATTCCATAGTTCCAAGATAGGCGGTCATAGTTCCAAGATAGGCGGTCTGTAACTTCCACATAACCAATTCGCCGGCTGTTCACCCATCTATTCTATAATATAAGGTATTTCCACAAAAGTGGCGCAAGCCTTTGTCGGTAGCTAGTCATGCTAGGCCTCCATTGAAAACTCGGAGCAGCATATGAGAACAAAGTGCAGGCATGAGAGAGTTTGCTCAAAACTTGGAGTTGTCGAAGAACTACTAATTTTGTTTTGTTTTGTTTTGTAGTTCTACACGAAAAAATTTGTTCCACATGAAAAAATTTGTTCCACATGAAGAATTAAGCTAAATATATTGCCAGCTAAATATATTGCCAATATTACAGTCAATTTTAATAGTAAATCTAGAGGTCGAGACAGAGACTAATTAATGGGCACCAATCAGGAAATGCACAAAAGATATTACATTTCATTTAAATTCAACTCATGCTCTATTATCCTCACAATTTAATTTGATTCTTTAAGCAAACAACTGAATGAAAGTATTGATCTTTAAAGACAAGGAGCACTGCTCTGCCAAAATACTAGTCAAAATAGATTCCTTTGTAAATAGTAATTAACATGCAAAAATAAAAAAAGATGCATATGCATGTATTAACATAAGTTTGCATTGAAAACTTAGAGCAGCATATGAGAACGAAGTGCAGGCATGAGAGACAGTTTGCTCCAAAATTGGAGCTGTCGAAGAACTGAGGGAAAAACCCAGGTTTCTTATTCAGTTGCTTCTATCCATATTTGCAAATAGTAATCAAAACCAGAATAACATTGAATAAACTGAGGGTATACTTGCAAAGAAAAACATGAATAGGGAAAAAAAAAAAACTATGATTTACAATAAAGAACCCTAGATTTACACGAAAGAAAAATCAAACACAAAATGTCCAAATCCTGACCAACAAGTAGATGGAAAATTACAAAAACAAGCCACAAAAAAAAAAATCAAAGAAGGATTTGTACTTGTCGCTCTTCAGAAGTCACAAATGAGTCTTCTTGATAGAGGTTTTTTTCTTCAAAAAACCCAGCAACAATGGAGAGGGAAATGGACATCTGTTAATGGCGGAATGATTTCTGTTGTTGGTTGAGCATGTCGCTGGGCAGTGAGCAAGAGTGGCGGAAAGGTGCAGGCAAGGGGGTGCAATGGCTTGGGGAAGAAATTGGGGGTGGAGAGAGAAGATGGTAGGGGCGAGTTCTATCAACCGGCGGTCTCAATCACGAGGCCAATGCTAGGTTTTTGCAATTCTCCGATATGTTCATTCTAAGTCTTTTCTAGAATGAGTGTATGCTCTTTTTGGGTGCTTTTGAGGATTAGCAAAAGCTGGTTTTGACTGGTCAAAATAGATCCAAACAACACAACAAGTGTCAAAACCAGGATATCTAAAACCAGGTTTGCCATATGATAGGTCCCAAACGACCCATAAGTGACTTGGCAGATCCTGTCAAGCCACACGAACTGGCACTATAGTTGTTTATCTTGAAAAAAGCATCTCTAACCTATGAGACCCAAAACATCTATATGTGCCAGCAGTAGGAGCTCCAGCCTACATGCCAATCACTTCTAACAAATGATATACATTTGATATTAGTGAATGGGGGATCCTGTCAAGCCAAGCATAACACCACCATACTTCTCTCTCTTACGAAAAAGCATCTATAACCTAGGAGACCCAAACTATCTGACGAATGGCACATGTGCCAACAGCAAGAGCTCTGTCCTACATGCCAATTATTATTTCTTAAAAAGGACCCCTCTCAGTGACTTGGAATATTCTCTTTTCAATTAGAAAAGATGGTTGAAAAACATTACCTATAAACTTCAATAGCGAGGTTTGTCTCTCAAGGAAAAGAGAATAAAAAAATGTTCCCAAGGAGTTGGTGCCCAGTGTTCCCCCTGGATCAAGGGCACTGTCAAAATGCTTTTGATCTCTTGGTACCCCAAACAATACACTTTTGGTGGCTGACATCCAGTTGTCTTGCCATGTAATCTAGTTTCGCACAGCAATACAAGATCTTTCCTTAGAACCTTAGATGGCTCGAGTATATGCTGACATTGAATGCAGGGCTCAAGTATACATGGCCAATGCATCACACGAGCATAGCTCCTACAAATTTGGTCAGAGGGATGAGAACTCCGATACCCAAAAAAAAAAATGATGATAACAGTTACTTCGGAAGAACTATATACACATTGTCACTATGTCTATAGGAATGTACCACAACATGCTAGACTATGTGCATCCCAATCCAGAACTAATCAGTTAACTCCTTGCACACCAATGTCTCCTAGCATTTACACAAACAACAGCACATACATGCAGCCATGGCCATTGCCTTGAAATACAATTTCTCAAAAAGATAAAGATATACAAGGAGGACCCTTTTAACAAAGGGGATGTAAAAGACAGAAAAAACCAGCTAACTCCATTTTGAAAAATATCACTATAATAGAGGCCTAAACGTCCAGTGATTAAAAGGATGCTACATAATGATAAACAAGGAATGTAGCGCATCATGTTGATCAGAAAATAAACTCTCAACCCCAATTTTTTCATAAAGAGAATAACAGTTATCACCTCCAGGTGGGCATATCATTCTTTAATAGATCTGTCTACTGGGGAGTGGAATGGAATATCCATACAAATTTGGGCCATAAGCTCACGGCTCTTAGCTGAACATCTTTTCAACAAACACTAAGCTTTTCCTTCCATATATGGTGGATTAGGTGACTATTATTTTCCTCAGATCAATTTATTTGAATTTTCAGATTAGACAATGCATTCATTACCACTTGAAAGTTCAGATACAAAGCATCTACACATGACCACGGTCAAAATTAGCCACATGCTTTCTTAAATGGCAGATATTCTTTGAATTAATAAATCTTACATTGCAAATCACTTCAGTGTAACTATGGTCAAATCCCCGATGTCAAAATAAAACCGTGGCAATATCCCCTTGAGTTAACCACAGACAAGGACCCCAGCTGAAGTCTTAATAAAAATTGGTCAGAATGTTAGAACAAACGTTAACTGCCTGTTTGGCAGATCCTATAATTAACTTGGAGAGAAATGTATACACATGCAATGGATCCTACTCCCGTCCCTTGAGCTGTCCCCTTGAACATTCCAAAGGAAGCAGTCTTAGCAAGCAATTTGTGATAAAGTCTCATATATTAAAAAGGAAGTATCCAATGGATCCATCAACATGGGCAGGACTCCTCAATGCAAAAAAAAAGGCCAACTAAGATATTATAGTTCACTTTCATGAAGGAAGAAAAAAATTATAGTTTACTTTCATGAAGAAAAAAAATATATATAATTTACAAATGCTGCCTTATATCTAGGAAGAAAGTGGTTTTAGTTAAACCATAGAACAACCAAAACAAAATTGGCAGAATACCAGCTATACTGGCCGCATCTGATTTTCGCTACTTGGAAGAACTCAAGAGCCAGTAGGTCTCTAGTAGCAAGACCACCATATACGGTCCCTAGACCACCATGTGGAGAGTTTTCTTTCTTCTTCTTTTGTCTGACTTATGAATAACCACATTGTACGTAGTTAAAAAAAAAATATATATATATATATATATATATAGATCCCTAGTTGCCTTATTTTTTGATCCACAGTCAATTAGGGTGTGCTATACATGCAGAACCATTTGTTGTGGGTTAATCTTTTCATCAATGATTAGTAATAGACAGTTATATCAAAATTAGCTTAAAATAAAGGGAAAAATATAGCACAGATAAAACTGAAAATGAATCAGTAACATTACATATCTTTCAAGTCCAATTGTAATTGTAAAGTTCAACAAGCTTTTTTTTCTGGATGTTTTTTTTCTGGTGTGTGTGTTTGTGTGTGTGTGTGTGTGTAAGAGTGAACCATACTCTATATGCCACTAAAACATTATTAACATTTTATATTGCTCTGCCAAAATCTAAACTACACATTTTCCACTACGCAAATGACAATCTCTTGACAAGCCTTATCACTAAAGAAGAAATCTCTTCAAATCATTTCAAAAAGCATTTGAAACAAAGGATTAACACATTTTCACCTAGTTTCTGATAAACTAGTGCAATTAACTATAGGATTACACATATACCAGGCCTATTGGACTACACTGTGAATGCCTTATATAGAACCATAACAGTCAAATGTTATGGCAATCCCATTAAATATTCATAGATTTAGAACGCTGAAAGAGCAGTATCAAGCATGACATGGCAATCCCATTAAATATTCATAGATTTAGAACGTTGAAAGTAGCAGTATCAAGCATGACATGGCAATCCCATTAAATATTCATAGATTTAGAACGCTGAAAGTAGCAGTATCAAGCATGACATGGCCATCCCATTAAATATACGAACTTCATGCCCATTTCCATTTCTAAGAACCATGTTTTTTGGACTTTGTATCCTGAATTACTATCATTTGAACATCATGGAAAGCATAATGCTCATAGCTCAACAGAGTTCACTTCAAAAAATAAGATCTGGCCACAACCCTAGGCAACACAAAAGCATGAATCAAATAATCAAGTATCAATTACCAATAATGAGATAAACAACAAATGCAGTGGAAATCAAACTAAAGGCAAGGTCCCAAAGGGAATTATTGCCGCAAATTTTGCAGGTACCACTTGTAAGTATCAATGAGCCCTTCTCTGAGAGATATGTTGGGTACCCATCCTAAGCTTGCCAATTTTGAGCTATCCATGAGCTTCCGAGGAGTCCCATCAGGCTTCATAATGTCCCAAACAAGCTCTCCGTAAAACCCAACAACTTCTTTAACAAGCTCTGCAAGTTCTTTAATAGTGACTTCCTTTCCACTCCCCACATTCATATGGACCAGCCCACTATAATTTGCCATTAGAAATACCACCGCATCAGCAAGGTCATCCACATGGAGAAACTCCCGAAGAGGCGAACCAGTGCCCCAAACTCTAACTTCCTTAGCCCCTGAAACCTTAGCCTCATGGAACCTTCTCATGAGAGCAGGCAAGACATGCGAATTCTCGGGGTGGAAGTTATCATTTGGGCCATACAAATTAGTGGGCATCCCCGAAATAGCGTCCCAATTATACTGTAACCTATAAGCCTGACACATCTTTATACCTGCAATCTTAGCTATAGCATACCATTCATTTGTGGGTTCGAGAGGTCCAGTTAGAAGAGCATCCTCTGTGATGGGTTGGGGTGCAAACTTCGGATAAATGCAAGATGATCCAAGAAAGAGAAGTTTCTTTACTCCATTTTTGTATGCTGAATCAATCACATTGGTTTGAATTTGTAAATTAACAGCTATAAATTCAGCTGGGTAAGTGTTGTTGGCATGGATTCCTCCCACTTTCGCAGCTGATAGAATAACATACTTGGGTTTCTCATCCGAGAAAAACTTCTCCACATCAGATTGGCATGTTAGATCAAGTTCTTTGTGGGTTCTAAGGAGAAGGTTGTTAAAGCCCAGATATTGTAGTTTCCTTACAATTGCAGAGCCCACTAAACCACGATGCCCAGCTACGAAAATTTTGGCAGATTTGTCCTCCATAAAAGAAGCATTTGAAGTTTCTATGGCAGATCAAAATTAAAAAATGAACATATCAGCCACTATAGACAGTGAGAAAATATAATTAGCCAATCAAATAAAAGGGGAAAGGAAAACACAATTGTGCAAGAAGATAGATTGAATATGTACTATGCAATTATTGCAATCAACATGATGTGAAACAAAAGACTGCAAGACATGTGATTGGACCATGGAGTGGATCAAATGTAAAGTTGGGGCTTTCAATGAGATTGGGAACTAAGAATGGAAAATGCTTCTTCAAAAAAAAATATCTCCAAAAAAAGAAAGGAAAATGCATACAAACAATATCGTTTTCAGAAACATGTAATCTACACAAAAAAACTTGAGAACCCAATAAATTGGGTATCAGTCAAGAAAATCATGAGCAAAGCACCCAAAAGGAGAAGCTACTGGAAATAAGATAAATGAAACCATTAAATTCAACATATCAATAAATTTTTGGAGAAGAAAATGAAGCAGGTAAGTGAGAAAAAGAACAATTCAAACATGCCCAGATACAAAGATTGACAATCACTATATGTTGGGGCAAAATTATGGATTCCTCAAATCCTTGATCAGCATTTGAAAATTCTTTTAGCTTGTTTTATCAGGTTTATATTCAGACACACAAATTAATTGAAATGGAACACAATATTTCCCCGTTAGTACAAAAAAAAAGGAAATATTAAAAAAAAGGAAATAGAAAGAGATTATTAACATATCCTTCTAAAACCACATCAATTAGTGTTGAAAGAGCAAGTTACAGAGGATTTGGTATAGGCAGCCTTACAAAGAGAAAATTATCAGATGAAGTTACCAACTTTTGAATATATATTTCTCTAACTTAGTGGATTCTACACCATTGTCAGATACCTCAGTCTAGTGATCATTTGAGGTTATACATTACAGTTTTCCATGAGTATTACTCCTTGTGTCCATCATACAAAATTAAAAAATCTAATACACTTTATAATTGAAGAAAGCCAAAATAATTGCTAGCCATGTACTCAACTGTAACATCATGCTCTCCCATAAATTCAATTTCATTATCATAAAATTTAACCTCAATCATTCATCAGTGAATTCTCATAAAACTGAGAATAAACCCATTAAAATTTTAACATGTAAAACACAATAAAAATTCCCCAATCACAATTCAGGAAAGAACAATTGAAAATGATGAGACAACAACCTTCCATATCCCTAGCTGCTTTCTTGGAAATCCAAATGACTTTTCTCTCTGGAGAGTTTGGTAAGAACCAGGCGTCAATAAGAACAGGGCTTAGGGCTTGCTTCCTTATCCCCAGCTGCTTTCTTTAACATCCAAAATACTCACTCTCTAGAGAGAGTGGAAAGAACCAGATTCGCACCTCAAATCACTGCTTATGAGATCATTAAATCACTGCTTCACTATATGAGATCTGAGGTGCGAACTGGCTCGTTTTAGGGTGGAGTTGAGAAAGGAGGGAGGAAAAATAAAATAAGTGTTTTGTTAGTCAGCGGACTCACTAGCCCGCACAATTACATAACGTCCATCTTTAAATGAGCATCCACAACTAAAGATTCCTACCAATGGATTAAAAAAAGAAAAATTAAAAAAAAAAAACCAATATAAACTATCAATGCAACTTACCCCCATCCAAATTTTTTTTCACCTTTTTCTCCATAACGACATTTTTTCGTAAAAAAAACCTCAACTCAAAAGGAATAAAAAAAAAGACTAAACTACCCGTTTTTCACACGCCCTTCTATCTCCTATTTCTCATTTTTTAATTTACCCAATGTGCTCCAGCAGTACAAAGACGTACTCTGGTAGTACAGTTTATGGAGACGACGCACTCCGACAGTCCCAAAGAACGCTCCGACAATATATGCTCTAGAGCCACGACGCTCTGGCAGTGTAATAGGGGGCTCCGGCAATATATGATGCACTCCGATGGTACACCTTCTGGAGACATTTCGCTCCAGCAGTCTATAAAGGCACTCCGGCAATAAAGGCTTTGGAGCCACAGCACTCTGGCAGTGTATTCAATGCTTCGATAGTATATGAAAGCGCTCCGGCAATATATGATGCACTACGATGGTACACCTTCTGGAGACATTTCGCTCCAGCAGTCTATAAAGGCACTCCGGCAATAAAGGCTTTGGAGCCACAACACTCTGGCAGTGTATTCAATGCTTCGATAGTATATGAAAGCGCTCCGGCAATGCGTACGGCGATCCGACAATCTTTACAAAGCGCTCCGACGCTCAATACATATGCCCTCCAGGAGTATGTTATAGACAATTCGCTCCGGCAATATGCTACTTGGGATCGATAGTCAACGCCAATTGATTTTTTTTTTTATGGGAAGGGCATTTCTGTCTAAAAGTAACAACTTTTTACCTTGGGGGTTTTTGCGAATAAAGGTTGTTGTAGGGAAAAAGTGAGAGAAAAGGTTTGGATGGGGGTAGGTTGCATAGATAGTGTATATTGGGTTTTTTTTATATAATTTTCCCTTAAAAAAATGTGAGATTGTATACAATGAGACCATTTATCTTTGATACGAGGTGCTCGCAATTATTCAAACGAAAAAATTTATATAAGGTAGCAACCTTGAAATGTAGAGCTAAAGATGCACGTCAAAAATCCATAGGAAAATGTTGTTTTCATGTTACATTTAATTGATCATCTTGACAACGAGATATACGAATATGGATAAAATAAGATTTTGAGTCCCATAAATAGTGCATTTTGCAACACATTATCTAGACGATCTATTTTCAAGTTTTTCATCTGTTTATAGATCAACTTGATTTTAACAATTTTATGAGTTTAAAATTGGGAAATTATCACTAATATACCTTTATTTTAGTAAAATTGGAAAAAAAAAAAAAACGATAACTTTTTAAAACCTCGCCTACACCATTTCTCACAAATTTCAGCTTTTTTTTTTTACTAAAATGACCTTTACGGTAGTCCTTTTACCGTAATACATTTTAAGCTTTACGATAATTAAAACATCCTAAAAAATTCAAAGAGTATTACGATAATTTAAATACGGTATTAGTTTGAATTATTGTTACGGTAATTTAATTACAGTAAAGCTTAAAATGTATTAAGGTAAAAAAACCATTGTGAAGGTCAAGTTTTTACGGTATTCTTATTACCGTACTAGCTTCACGGTCAATTCCAAATGCCTATTGGTTGAAAGCTTTAAACCAAAGCTAATATCAGGGGTATCCCTAGAGAAAAAGCTTATCAAGGCTATCCCTCTCCTCCCACGTTCTATGAACCAGAGGAAAGCTGAGTTCGAGAGAGAACTCGAGCAAAGGGATTAGTAAGGTTGGGAACTTCCAATAGATGTCTTTAGTTGTAGCTATTGATTTGGGTTTTTTTTTTTTTCTTATTTCATGATTTATACAAGTTTTTAACACATTTATTTTCTATAATAAAAGTGGGGCTTTTCTCTTTTTTTTCTCGGTTCACTATTTTTTTGTCGTGAACCAAGGTCTATTAATGTTGATCAAGCACCAATAATTGAGATTTTTTATGAAGGTTTAGATAGAGAGAATTGGGTTTTTGCGTGTTAATGGGTTCCTTTGTAGAGGAGATAAAGGCAAAAAAAAAAATGTGTAAAGAGGAAGGAACGATGTGGGTTTTTACAGATAAATGTAGAAAACACATGCGGAAGGGAGAAAAGGCTGGAGGTTTGATTATGGAAGTCTAGAGAGAGAAAATATTCGAAGGAAATAGGCTCAAGAGAAGTGGGTTTTTTTTTATATTTGAGACAGAGACACAGAGAGAGAGAGGGAGTACCGTAATATGTGAATGACATTACGGTACTTCGAGCATCGTAATTTTATGTTAATACATTACGGTAATTAAATTACCGTATAAAATGCCTAAGAATTACGGTATATAAATTACCGTATGGGCGTTTCTACAAATTACGGTATTTAAATTACCGTAATGCCCTTTACGGTTAAAAGACTACTGTGAAGGTCATTTTGGTAAAAAAAAAAAAAGTGAAAAAGGGTGTAGGTGAGGTTTTGAAAATTAGGGTTTTTTTTAAAAAAAATTGGAGATGCGCCTTAATTTTGATAGTTTAGGTGTGTCATAAAGATCGAGAAAATTTCTTTTGAAGTTTGAGCTTGGTCAATGAAATAAATGCAGCCACCCAATTTCATATCCAATGGTCAAAGATTAATTGTGACCACCTTGTACCAAAAGTAAATAGTATCATTCTATACTTTTCCAAAAATTGTTTCAATAAAAATGTTTTAGAATTTTATTTTATTATATTTTAGTTTTTATATTCATGATCATCTTAGTGTAGATCATAGATCACTACAATTTTGGATCCAAGATTGATACAAAAAATGGGTATTCAAGGGAATCCGCATGAACATAGTATGAGTCGGGGGATTCATAAAAGGAAAATTGTTTCATACAAGCTGGACCGCATTTCTACAATGTGCGGTCCAAAGGTATAAAGCATCCATCTTAAAGATAGATGCAGATAGGTGGTCCATTTAAAAGCAATTGTAACGAATGGTCCAAATGTTTTCTTAATATATTTTTAATTTTCATTTTCTTTTTTCATATTCATGATCTCCATGTTAAAGATTATATATTTTATAGAAATTAGGGTTATATTATATTATAAAAACTATATTTATTGCTAAGCTTGCATTTCTATAATATGTGGGCTGGCCATATAGAAACCGCATCCCTCATAAAAACCATCTTAAAAAAAGATTTAGCCAAACTTGGAACTAAGGGATGGTTTTTTATCCAAGCCAAATAAAGTATATAATGAGACCATTTATCTTTGGTATAAGGTGGTCACAATTTAGTCTTGACAATTGGATGTGATATTGAGTGGCTGTATTTATTTCATTGACCAAGCTCAAAGTTCAAAATAAATCTTCTCAAACTTTGTTACACATCCATGCTATCAGATTTCATATCGGATGGTTGTAAGTAATTGTGAGCTTCATGTATCAAAGATTGTATACCAAGCATAAATGATTGTGTGTGTGTGTATAATGCCAAAAATCAACCCATCAGGTTTAGCCTGGTTTAGGGTTGGTAGTGTGGCGGTAACAGCTTCAAATACAAAGTTCGAGGTGTAGAATTTTGATGGTTAGTAAAAATTTTCAGCAAGAATTGCAAAAGAATTTATTTGGCAAAAATAGACGATTTTATAAAGTTATCAGATAAATGTTTGGAATGGCGAGTAAGTGATTTTTTATATCAAGTTGGTGATTGTTGAATTTGTTATTATCTTAAATTACCTTCTTAAGGAAATCTTACTATAGATGTAAACAAATGACCTCCTTAAGGAAATCGTACTATTGATGAGTTTACATGTCTTTAGGTAAGTTGCATATGGTTTAGGATAACCATGAGGACCAAAAAAATATAAAGTGCAATTTGCCATAAAGTTGGGAAGAAAACACGATGAACTTCTCATATGCCCTATTTGGGTCACCTTATAAGAAAGTTGGATTTTCCTCTAGAGAAAGATCGTCGCCTAGCAATTTTCATAAAGATTTTGGGTGGTACCCATTTTATAGAGATAAAGTCGGTTTCTTGTTGCTATTATATCTCTATTTAGTACTATATATAACAGTTGCCAGAAATAAAGAGAAAGAATAACGATATGTAATATTAGTTGAGAGGGTGGTTTAAAGGGTTGTCTGACTAAGTTTTGTCGATGGTTATTATGATACCTTTTGTATCCAAAATCTATAATATAATCGGTATACTGGATTTCAGTTTGTCATACCCATAAATATAGTCACAACTATGACAAACCACGTAAATTATGTTGTTTTCTTTCCAATATTTCTTTTCCTATTTGTTTTTCTTGTTTATTGTTTGCTTGTTGCCGATTCTATTTTTCTCACACTTTACTTGCCAAAAATCAACCCACCTTTTTAGAGCTTCTACGTGCAACAAGTTGTATCATAGCTTCGTTTGGGTTGTCGGTATGACAATAAAAGTTTTGAATGCAAAGTTCAAGGTGGAGAAATTTAATGGTAAGCAAAATTTTTTAATGAGAATTGTTTATGAATTTATTTGGCAAAACTGGAAGATTTCATAAAGTTAGCCGACGAATGTTGAAATGGTGAGCAAGTAATTTTTCTTATCAATAGAGAGATTGTTGGATTGGATGATATTTAAAATCACCTCCCTAAGAAAATCCTATATTATTAGGATTGATATTAATGTTATTGAGTTTTCTATTTAATTGGATAGTTCTAATTATGTAGGAAGTTTATATTTTGTATAAGTACCATATAATTTAAACTATACTTGAGGATGAAAGAGAATAATATTAAGTTAAAATTTCTGATGAAGTTGAGAAAAGACGGGATGAACATCTCACGTACCGCTTTATGGGCTTGTACTTTTTTTTATTATAAGTTATGGTAGAGAGTTAAAATTTGCGCACTATTTTGCTCACTTTATGTGAAAGTTAGGCTTTCCTCTAGAGAGAGGTTGTAGCCTCCTGCATATAAAAGTAGGAGCCTCTAGAGAGAGAGGTGAGTTTCTAATGAGAAGAACAGTTTGCCCGTGCCTCGCATGAGAAGAAGGGTTTGTTTCTTGTAGAGAAACAATTTTATAAAGATTTTGGGTGATATATCATTTTTAGAGAGGAAGTTTGGTTTTTTGTTGCTATTATATATCAATTTAGTGTTGTCGGCAATAGTTGTAAAGAGTAAATAGAAGGAAGAATGTCATATGCTGTAATTCGGGAGAGCTCAAGGACCTCGTGGCTAAGCTAGAGGAGCGAGTGGATGAGTTAGAAACCTCCTTCGAGGTAGTGGAGGAACTCACTCATTGTCTTTTGTGAAGGCTCAACAAGAGTGGGCAGAAACCATCGAGGGCTTGGGCAAGAATGTGAAGAGCGCTATTGAGGTGCTCAAAGCACAAATGGTGGAGCTGACAACAGAGAGTTTAAATTGTTTGATTGAGTTTATCAATGACTATTATGATATTTTTTGTATCCCAAAATTTCAGTTTGTCATGCTCATGGATGTAATCACATCTATGATCACGTAAATTCTGGTGTTCTCTTTCTGTTATTTCTTTCTTGCTCGTTGGTTGTTTGTTGCTAGTTCTATTTCTTCCGACTTTATTTTCTAAACATCAATCCATTGAATTTTAGAGCTTCCGCAAACAACACTTGCCGGGTCCACACCCGACCGGTCTAGTGTTTAACCACACATAACAGTGAAATTCTTGATGGTTAAAGTTTCAATGATGAAAAACAACACTTGCCAGGTCCACATCCAACTTGTTTAATGTTTTACCACAAAACAGTGAAATCCATAATGGTTAAAGTTTCAATGATGAAGAATTAGGCTTGGGTTTAAATGACCTACCCGATAGAGGAACGCATACATAAGGAATTGACAATTAACATTAGCAAACACTATATCTTAAATTTGATACCAAAAAAAAAAAAAAGCCGCATTGATCTACAAAATCACAAGAGTAATTTACGTATAGACAAAAAAAAGAAAAAAAAAAAGAAAATAAAATATGAAATGGGCCAATTTTAGATGAAAATTACACTGAAAGTCGGTCAACCCGTATTTTTTTTTTATTTTTTTCAACATTGCCCATTAGTTCGAGGATTTTTTAGTTTTTTTGGCTAATAGGGGCTTAGTTCTATAGCAGTTTGAGGATGGGGACTTCGAACTGCTTTGAAAGTAAGCCTTGGGCCCTGAAAGTTCAAAAACGGTCCGAGGTCCCGATCCTTTGAGTGCTCTTTTATTTATTTTTGTGGAAAAAAAGAAGAATGGAGGCATAATTTTTGCCCAAAATTAACCCCTTTAGTATTTGTTTATTTTTTTATCCACACATGGAGGTACCTTCACTGTCTAATCGTTGGATGGGTGGTGATGGACAACTTAACAACCTACTCCTGAGGTCGTTCTATATTATGAAGGATCACCTCACTTCCATCACCGTCCATTCTTGTATTGGACGGCCCTACACATATGACCCCGCTCTTTCATTAACATAAATCCGTCGAGCTTTCCGGACCGGACACATTCCACAATCCAAATAATGACCGTTTGGCCTCTCGGTCAAGAGGTTTTCAAACTTCTGTGAAGAAATCCGATGGCTCATCTCAGCCGTCCATTCAAAATTCAAATTCAAATCCAAATCCAAATCGACTCCCGAACGGTAAACCTCGTCTCCCCCCACCAATTTAAAACCCCAAACCCCTCTTTCTCGCTCCTCATTTCCTCAGTCTCTTTCTCTAGCCCTCTTTCTCTCTCTAGACACAATCTCTGTGTCTCTTGGAGCCATGGCCGCCATTGACAAGAAGAAACCCCTTGAAACCAGTAGCAACTTCAACTCCAACGCAGCAAACTTAACCACCATTAATGGATCCAAACCTGGAAAAACCATCGAAGAAACCTACCAGAAAAAAACCCAACTCGAACACATTCTTCTCAGGCCTGATACATACATTGGGTCGGTCGAGAAGCACACCCAAAACCTTTGGGTCTATGAAGAAAACAAAATGGTTCATCGATCGATCTCCTATGTTCCTGGTTTGTACAAAATCTTTGACGAAATTCTTGTCAATGCTGCAGATAATAAGCAGAGAGACCCATCAATGGATTCATTGAAAGTTGACATTGATGTTGAGCAGAACACCGTCAGTGTGTATAATAATGGAGATGGGGTTCCTGTTGAGATTCACCAAGAAGAAGGGGTTTACGTTCCTGAGATGATATTTGGGCATTTGCTCACAAGTAGTAACTACAATGATGAAGTGAAGAAGACCACGGGCGGGAGAAATGGATACGGAGCTAAGTTAACAAACATTTTTTCGACCCAATTTGTGATCGAGACTGCAGATGGGAAGCGGCAGAAAAAGTATAAGCAGGTCGGTCTCCCAATCTCTCTTTACTTTTATTTCTCTAGTTGTACACATGAATGCCTGTTTATGAATGTGGTATTGATTTTTGGTGATAAAATGTAAGATTCATGGATGGTTTTGGTTTTAGGCATTGTTTCTCTCTCTTTACCTTTATCTCTCTCTATTTTAGTACGTCTATCTCTACTTTTGTGGGATAATATGTAACAATCTTGTTCTTGACTGGGGTTTAATCTTTTGGGTTGTTTCAGTTTCTTGTAATGGTGCAATTGGTGAGTTTGGTTTAACTGTAGGGCTTCTATTGGGGGTTTTTATGTTTTTTGGAAATGTTTCATGAATGCATCCATTGGGGGTATTTTTGTATTATTTTTACTAGGATTGTGTGAAATGCTAGTTGGAAATAATCCAGCACCTCTAATTCATTTTCTGCTATATTTCTGGTTTTATGTTCAAGGATGATTTCCCTTTCCTCAGGTTTAATGCCACTGGACTTACCATTGTTTTCGCTTTTCAAGTTGATCAGTAAATATTGATAGGAAAACTTGTTCTTGTTTCTGATCGTTCCAAATTTTTTTTGATTACAGGAATACTTGGGTTTACTCTGTCTCTCTCTATATTGCTCATTCACACTCTCTCTGTCTCTCCCTCTTGTGAATTTTCCCAAACGGCTCTTGTTACTTTGATTTGCTTAAATTTGAAAGAGAACATTGATAAAATCGTTAATCTCTATAACGCATTCCTTAGTCTTGTACATGCACTAGAGTATCAGGCACAAATTCAAACTGTAGGTTTTGATGATCTCCTTTCTTTTGCCGTTGATTCTGTTTCGTTACAAAGGTTTTCACAAGCAACATGGGAAGTAAAAGTGAGCCCGCAATTACAAAGTGCAAGGCAGGAGAGAACTGGACCAAAGTTACATTTAAGCCTGATCTTGCAAAATTTAACATGACCTATCTTGAAGAAGATGTGGTCGCTTTGATGAAGAAGAGAGTGGTGGATTTGGCAGGATGCCTTGGAAAAACAGTTAAGGTTGAGTTAAACGGGAAGAGGCTCCCAGTGAAATCCTTTGTGGACTATGTTGATCTTTATGTAAAGTCTGCTTCTGAGGCGAGGCCAGAGCCCCTTCCAAGGTTTGTTTCCCAATCACCCATTTCTTCTGTTTTCTTGGTCCTCTGTGTGTGTGTGTGTGTGCGCACCCACGTGTTTGATTAATTCTCGTTGGGTTCATTTGATTGCTCGTTTTTGTTTCAGGATTGTGGAGAAAGTTAATAATAGATGGGAGATATGTGTGAGTCTGAGTGAAGGGCAGTTTCAGCAGGTATTCTGAATCAGTCATGACTCATGAATCCCTTTGTAGTCAAATATCAAATACTGAACTCAGAGAGAGAGAGGAGGAGGAGGAGAGGAGAGGGAGAGGGAGAGGTCCCATTAGTTGAATCTTGAGTCACTTGGATTGGCGAAAATCCCTTAATTCCTATCATTTTGGGTGTTTTACAGGTTAGTTTCGTGAATGGAATTGCTACCATCAAAGGTGGAACTCATGTTGAGTATGTCACAGGGCAGATTGCTAATCATATCATGAACATTGCTAATAAGAAGAACAAGAATGCAGGCATTAAAGCTCACACTGTGAGGAACCACTTGTGGGTATTTGTCAATGCACTCATTGACAATCCTGCTTTCGATTCTCAGACCAAGGAGACTTTGACCACTCGTCAAGGCAGCTTTGGATCAAAATGTGAACTGTCTGAAGAGTTCCTTAAAAAAGGTATGCTGGTCTCTATCTCTCTATATAGTGTTTACTGAATTTGGTGTATGGCAATTCAGTTTTTCTGGACAAAAACATTCTCTAGTATTCTATGAAGCATCGTTGCCAAATCTCCTCTCTCTCTCTCTCTCTCTCTCTCCCCTCCTCCTCTGAAGTTCTATTTTGTTTCCCAATGCTGTGTGGTTTCAGCTGCCAATTCTGGGATTGTGGAAAGCCTACTTTCCTGGGCTGATTTTAAACAGAGCAAGGATTTGAAGAAAACTGATGGAACTAAGTGTCAGAGAATCACTGGCCTTCCAAAACTTGAGGATGCTAATCAAGCAGGAGGGAGGAACTCGGAAAAATGTACCTTGATTCTAACAGAAGGAGATTCAGCTAAAGCTCTAGCTGTAAGTAATAGTTTTATCCACTACTTGAGCTCTGGCTGGTAATTCCGGAGAGATTAGGAAAATAAAATGATAGGATCTATTTTTTGTTGTCTTTAATGTTGGTTGGTTTTCACAGATGGCAGGGATCTCTGTTGTGGGTCGAGATCACTTTGGTGTGTTCCCTTTAAGAGGTAAACTATTGAATGTGAGAGAAGCAACAAAGACACAGATAAAGGATAATAAGGAGATTCAGAATATAAAGCAAATACTTGGGTTACAGCATGGAAAGGTGTATGACAGTGTCAAGTCTCTGAGATATGGCCATCTGATGATCATGACTGATCAGGTTCTTGCTTTAAATTATCTTTTTTTTTTTAGGGTTCTCTTGTTCATTTTGGAATGGTGTCTGAGAATTGTTGTTTTCATTTTTCAATCTCGTCTTTTCAAATTGATCTTCCGTTGCAATTGTAGTTAAGGTCCAATTAACATGGAACTTTTGTTCAGGATCATGACGGGTCTCACATCAAAGGCCTGCTCATCAATTTCATCCATTCTTTCTGGCCATCCCTACTTAAGGTCCCCTCATTCCTCGTGGAGTTCATCACGCCTATTGTTAAGGTCAGTGCAAATTCTCAGTCTATCTATATGTTTCTGTGTACAATTTCTCAGTTCATCATGCCTCGTGGCATTTTGGGTCTCTGTGATAATCAGGCTAGAAACAAGAACGGGAAGGTGTTGTCCTTCTACACATTGCCAGAGTATGAATCCTGGAAGGAAAGCCTTGGAGGAAATGCTCGTGGTTGGACCATCAAATACTATAAGGTTTCTAATTCTCTTTTAACGCTGGTCTTAATTTTTTGGCTGCGGTTATAAGGGTTGTCATAAAATTCTGATAAACACCTCTTTGTTTTGATACCACTGTACTTTCTCCTCCAAATTCCACTTCTCCCCCTCTATATTTTGAATAAAGAAGAGCTTTTCTGTATGCTGCTGATATATTTCATCTGCTTTTGCTCAACAGGGGTTGGGTACAAGTACATCCCAAGAGGGAAAAGAATATTTCAAGGAGATAAACAAACACAAGAAGGACTTTATATGGGTGGATGATCAAGATGGAGATGCTATTGAATTGGCATTTAGCAAGAAGAAAATTGAAGCAAGGAAGAACTGGCTCCGCCACTTTGAGGTAAACCATGGAAAAATTGAAACCCTACATCAATATCTTTCAAAATTTTTGAATCTTTATGATTTTTGAGAATTGCACCTTTCTCTCTGTGGCAGCCTGGTACTTACCTTGATCAGAAGGAGAAACTCATCAAGTACAGTGATTTTGTGAACAAGGAGCTCATTTTGTTTTCAATGGCGGATTTGCAAAGATCAATCCCTTCTATGGTGGATGGTCTCAAACCTGGTCAACGGAAAATCCTTTTCTGTTCATTCAAGAGGAACTTTGTTTCCCAAGCGAAGGTACCTTTTCATAATCATGGAAAAATGCTGCTTTAGATTTTGGTTTTCTTATCTGAAAGGTGATTAAGCCATTCCCTATTTTATTGCTTGTTCCAGGTTGTACAGTTCTCCGGTTATGTCTCAGAGCACTCTGCCTACCACCACGGTGAACAGAGTCTGGCCGCTACCATTGTTGGAATGGCACAGGATTTTGTTGGCACCAACAATATAAATCTCTTGCAACCACTCGGTCAATTTGGCACCAGAAACAGGGTTCATACTCTCTCTCTCCCCCCCTTCCTGCGCACCCCTTTTCTCTGTGCTATTGTGCCTTTCTCTCTCTAGTCTCTGTGGTTTTGTCTGTGGTTTCCCCCGCACCCCCATGCACCCCTTATCTCTGTGGTTTTGTGCTCTCTATCTCTCTCTCTCACTCATTTTCCTTTTGTTTTCTTTTGGCTCAGGGAGGCAAGGACGCTGCAAGTGCTAGGTACATCTTTACTTGTTTATCACCCATTACACGTTTCTTGTTCCCAAAAGATGATGATGTTCTCCTGGACTACCAAAATGAAGATGGACAGTGTATCGAACCCAACTGGTAATTTCTCTATTGAGGCACTAATTAGAAATTCACATAAATCTAATAGTCCTTATCCATAAGAGGAACAGATATAACAGAAAGTATGCCATGGTTTCCTTATACAGGTACATGCCTATTATACCACTGGTTCTCATCAATGGAAGTGAGGGCATTGGAACTGGCTGGAGCTCCTATGTGCCAAACTACAATCCAAGGGATGTTGCAGCCAATGTGAAGCGTCTGCTGAATGGCGAGTCGATGCTGCCCATGGAGCCTTGGTATAAGGGATTTAAGGTCTCTGTCTCTCTCTATTAGTTTTGTGTTTCTATATATGTGTATTTACTTCTCTCTCTCTCTCTCTCTCTACAAACTCCCCCCCCCCCCCGTCGCCTCCCCCTCTCTGTGTCTGCTAAAGCATGCGATGCATTTGTTGAGCCAGTTGGTTATTCTCTTATCCGTACTGCATGATTCTCTCTATACATTTCAGGGAACAATTGAGAAATCAGCTACAAAAGAAGGTGGCGTCGGTTATACAGTGAGTGGCATTGTAGAGGAGATCAATGAAACAACATTGAGGATAACTGAGTTGCCCATTCGAAGATGGACAGAAGATTACAAAGTATATTTGGAATCTTTGAGGACAGGAAGTGAAAAGACCAAGGAACCATTCATCGTGGTAAGTTCTATGAGCCCAAGTTATTATGTTCTCGAAGTATAAAGATGCAATTAAAACTGGAGATTCTTACTGGGCTTCTCATACAGGACTATAAGGAGCACAACACTGATACGAGGGTACATTTTGATGTTCTTCTCCCTGAGGAAAACATGAAAATTTCTCAGCAAGAAGGATTGATGAAGATGTTCAAGCTTACAACCACCATCAGCACTAGCAACATGCACCTGTTCAATGCGAAAGGTGTCATTAAAAAATATGACACTCCTGAGCAGAGTAACTCTCTCTATCTCTCTCATTAAAAAATATAACAGCTCTAAGAAGGCATTTTCCTCTCTCGATATTCTGTTTATGTGCCTTTAATAGGCCTGTTCTTTCTGGCAATTGCAATGGCTTTTTTATTTCTTCATGTTAAAAAAAACAAGATTGTCTAGGGACCAAATTTCATCAATTTATGTCAATCATTAGATTGTAATACAGATACTAGCTATTTAGTTTAGTGAAAGAGGAATAATATGCATCTGTTGGATGCGAAAGGTGGCATTAAAAAGTAACTCTCTCTCTATCTCTCTCATTAAAAAAATATAACAGCTCTAAGAAGGCATTTTCCTCTCTCGATATTCTGTTTTATGGGCCCCAACTATTCTAATTGCGTGAATTCTTCAATGTCCTGCAGTTCTGGAGGAGTTCTTCCATCTAAGATTGGATTATTATGGTAAAAGAAAGGTGGGTTTTCTTTAGTTGGCATGTACAAGAAATGTGTTGTAGAGCACAATTTAGTTTTGGATTATGGGGCCATTCATGTTTGTGTGCTTTCACTGTCAATCTTTATGCAGAAAGTTCTACTGGACAATCTTGAACTGGAGCTGCTAAAATTGGATAACAAAGCCAGATTCATTCTTGGTGTAGTGAATGGAGAAATAGTTGTGAGCAAAAGAAAGCGAGCAGATCTAGTCCTTGAGTTACGGGACAAAGGTTTCACCCCATTTCCAAAGAAATCTAAGAATGTTGAAGCAGCCCTGGCTGGAGCAACCCCAGTGGATGAAGAGGGTGAAGAAAGCCCAGAGGTTGATGATAGAGGAATAAATGCCTCGGATTATGACTATCTTCTTTCGATGGCCATTGGAACCTTGACGATTGAGAAAGTACAGGAACTTTGTGCTGAAAAGGATAAGCTTGAACATGATGTCAAGGAGCTCAGAGGTTTAACTCCCAAGGCCTTATGGATCAAGGATCTTGACGCATTCTTAGCTCAGTTAGATGTATGATCCTTGTTTTTCTTCCCTTCATCAAGTTTTCTCTCTCTCTCTCTTTCTCCCCACATATATATATATATATATATATATATGAAACAGACACTTATTTGGGTAATTTTTCTAAAACAGGCTGAAGCTGTGCAAGAAGCGAAAGATGATGAGTATGAATTAAACAACATGGTCAGTGATGCTGCTAAGATTTTCAGACAAGTGGGCAAGAACCCTAGGAAGAACACCAAAAAACCCGCTCCGGCTGAGCATGTTGATACTGATGCATCAGACACCACTACTACTGAGGTAGCAGCAAAACCAAAAAAGAGAGCCCCCAAGAAAGCTCCCACGAAGAAGAAGGTGGTTAGTTGCTCTGTACATTTCCAAAAGTTCAAGTTTTAGATTTATGTATTTGCTGAGGTGCTTACTCCTGGTTTCTTGGTAGGATGTGGAGGATATGGAAGATGATTTGCTACTTGATTTGAATGCTCGGCTGGCTAAATATAACATTGAATCTTCTCCAGAGCATGCAGGTTCTGCATTTTCAGGGAGAGAGAGAGAGAGAGAGAGTACTTTTTGTGGATTTCTTAGTCTCTGTCCTTTGTCGTTGATGCAGATATGGAAACCGACTTGCCTGAGAGGAGAGAACCTAGCAAAAGGGCGGTGAGCAAGCCCCAACAAGTCTATGCGGACATATCTGATGATGAATCCGAACACTTGGAAGAAATTGAGGAGGAAAAAGAGGAAGAACAAGAAGATGAAGATCCAAAACCAGCTAAAGGCAAGAAGAAGCAAGCTCCAAAACCAAAGGAGAAAAAGAAGATGGATGGTTCTAGTGATGAAGAGTTTGTCATATCAGATGAGGATCTCTCAGTGTTTGATATTGAAACTGAGGATGCTCCTCCAAAGCCAAAGGGACGGGCGAAGAAACCTTTGTCCAATAAACCCAAGGCTCCTACTGGTGCTGCAAAGAAACGTGGTGCTGCGAGCTCAAAACAGCCAATTCTAAACCAGAAACTGATAACCGAAGTGCTAAAGCCCGTGGGGGTTTCCCCTGAGAAGAAAGTGAGAAAGATGAGAGCTTCACCTTTCAACAAGAAGAGTGGGTCAGTGCTAGGAAGGATAGAGAGAGAAAGCAAGGCAGAGGAGTCGAAAGATGGGTCTCCTCTCTCTTTAGAGAGAGAAGAAAAGGTTGTTATGGCAGCAAGGAACAGGCCTCAAAGAGCAAAGCCGGCTCCCAAGTATATCCTTTCTGATTCAGAGAGTGATGCAGCCAATGATTCTGATTTCAATGATGATGAGTGAAGAGTGCTTTTTTAACTTTTTCTCAATTTGATTGTAAAACTCTTTATGACGTAATATTCATGGCTGGTTTCTTACTAGTAGTATTTGAATCTCTACTCGTTACCCCGCTTGAGAGAGGGTAACTTGGCATGTAACAACTCTTGTATGACCACGAGAATGAAGATCATTCCCTGGTTTCTTTGTATCTTTTGGCTTAATCTCTTACATTCAATTTAGGGATTTTCTATAAAGAGACCTTACATTCAATTTAAGGATTTTCTATGAAGAGAGTTTATTTTTTGTACATGAAAGTCACAACTATCCCACTCCTTAGATGTCAAATTGGATGGTTTGGGGTAAGTCACAAAGTTCGAAAGGGTAGTTCTAGAGTGGGAATGGTTGTGAATTCTTTGTACAAAAGATAAATGGTCTCTTTGTAGACAATCCCAAAGATAGGAATGATCTCTTTGTAGATAATTTTTTATTTTTTATTTTTTATTTTTTTCAGCCACTCTCAAGGAAGAATATGGGGGTAATTTAGGACAAAAATGATCAAAGAGTAAAACAGTTTAAATCAAGTAATGGGCAAGTACACTAATAATGTCCTACCAACAACCTAGATATATCGCAGAATCAATACTCATTGAAATGTACAAAATAATGCAGGAACCCCTCAAATTCTAGATGGTATTTAATTCAAATCAGATGGAATATATTTAATGCAGGAACTCAATGGCAGTTGCTCAAAGGAACTATTAAGAGAAGATAAGATTTCATATTTCTCTGAGACCAAAATAAACAGCCCTCATATCCTAAAATTTCAATCCATCCAGAGAACCAAACACCTAAACCAGCGTTTGGGCATCTCACTTCTACCTTCTTATGGTCTTCTGACCTTATCTTACAGTAAAAAACTTTACAAGGCTGGAGGCCTTTCATCTCAATGGATCAGAATCCACAGTTCCCTCTTCCCTGAAAGTCATTAACCCTTTTAGCCCATCTGTTTTGCTTCAGTACACTTAGCCTCTTTCCTTCCCTGAAAGACAGATGAACCATTTTGATGATCATAAGTTTTGCTTCAATTAAATATAGTTTCTCTCTCTTAATTGAAAGAGAGATTGACCATTCTATCAATGATCAGTTTTGTTTCACTTCATGAAGCATCTCCACCACCTTCTTCATTTTGGGCCTCTTGGCCGGGGTGCTATCAGTGCAAACCAAAGCTATCTTCAAAACCCCGAGCATTTGCTTTCTCCAAGAAAAGGAGACAGTACTCAATCTTGAGTCCAGTATTTGCTCTGGCGTTTCCCCTCTTGAAGACGCGTTATGAACCCACTTCACCAAGTCCATTCCCTCTCCAAAGGCCTCGTCTACTGGTAATCGGCTTGTGAGGATCTCAAGTAGCACGACCCCAAAGCTGTAAACGTTCCCTGGTGCTGTCACTTGCATTGTGTATGCATACTCTTGAAAAAATAAAGAAAATAAATCAAATAAGAAGCATGAATTATAAAAGGAGAACTAGTTTCAAGTGATAGAAAAAATTGATGAATTCAGCAATGATCAATCAGGGACTGACATGAACTCTGCAAACTATGCACATATATACACATAAGTACATCAACATATACAGACACAGACAAAAAAATATACATGCATCTATACCTATGCACACATGCATATTGACATACAATACATACATACATTAATAAATACATACAGTTAAAAGTTAATACATATGGCTGCAGTTGAAAGAATCAATCACTGGTTTGGAATAAAATCTTCTCCTCTCTCTCTTTGACACACACATTTTCTTTGTATTCCATTTTCCTTTATCTTCTACATACTTCTTCCCTATTCTTCACCATTCTTGTTTACACTTGCATTTCCCTTTCCATTCTTAATTGTTCTCTTTATAATTGTTTCTTTATATTTGTTTATGTTCCCCTTGTCTCTTTGGGTTTGCTAGTTTATTTTCATGCTCAGTTTCGTGTTTCTTTGGTTTCACAATCTGTTACATCTATTTTATCATGCAATGATTGCTTTGAGTCTTTTTCTCAGTTTCCTCTGTTTTAGTCTTCTAAAGTTCCATATGAGAAAAGTATCAGCAACTGCCATTGTTCTTTTTTCCTTTATTTGATAAGTAGTTATCACCAGCTAGTTGGTTACCATAAAAATGAGAACTTGTAGAAATAACACTTTAAAGAAGAGCTTCATACCTGGTGGAATATATCCAAAGGAGCCTGCAACAGCACTGATACTTGCCGTCCCTCTTGACGGATCCAAAAGCTTTGAAATCTCAATCTCTCCAATAAGTGGGTTAAAATTTCCATCAAGAAGAATGTTTCCTGATGATATATCAAGATGAATTATAGCAACATGGTGAAGAAAAGCAAGTCCTTCTCCAGCTCCAATTGCAATAGAGAGCCTTCTTGGCCAGTCTAGTTCAAACCCAGACTCAACATTGTTGTGGAGAAGCTGAGCCAAGGTCCCATTGGGCCAGTAATGATGAAGCAAAAGAGCAGCATCATCATATATCACAAATCCGACAGGCCTCATCAAATTATCATGGCAAAGCTTCGCCATTCTCTCAAGCTCTCTGATCATCTTGCTTTGTTGATGGGTCACAGTTTTGTCCATCGATTTCAACCTCCTTGCTGAGAGAACAAGACCAGAAGGCATAATAACTTTATAAACAGTGCTAAAAGTCCCACTACTAAGCTTGTTTGATTCCTTGAGAGTGGCCTTTACTGCACTCTCGAAATCAACAGCTTGTTTCAAGCTCTCGATGAAAACATTACCAGCTATGATCAAAGGAGAGGTAGAAATTCCAGATTCTGAAGCTAAAGAAGCAGCAGCCACCATTTCTTGCTTCTCTCTAAGCATAAACAGTAAAACCACTACAGTGACTGTGATAAAAACAGTTAAAGCAGAACCAATGACCACTAAAACCTTCTTGTAATAGCCTCTATGGTTGTTGGATTCATGGCTTAAAGTTCCAGAACAGGAGGTCATGGGTTCTCCACATAGACCTTTATTCCCTGCAAAACTTGAAACTGGGCTTTTTTGAAATGGCTTAGAGCTCGGGATCTGACCAGAAAGCTGGTTGTTTGAGAAATTCACATAGATCAAGCTCACCATTCCTTTAAGCTCGGAAGGGATGCTCCCTGATAGCTGATTGTTAGAGAAATCAAGCATCACCAATTTGTCGAGCCTCCCCAAATCTGGAGGTATTGGTCCATGAAGGTGGTTAAAGCTCAGGTTGAGAGCTATCTGCAAATTCTTGATTCTACCAATCTCAGGTGGGATCTCTCCAGTGAAGTAGTTACTACCCATTTGAAGCTCAAGAAGCCTCACACAGTTACCAATCTCAGAAGGAATCTCCCCTCTAAGAGAATTCTGATCTAGTAAAAGGTACTGTAACCTCGACATATCACAAAGCTCTTTGGGAATGGTTCCATTGAATCGATTACTGCTCAGATCAAGCTTGCTCAAGTTCTTGCACTTGAAAATGGCTTTTGGGATATCGCCAATCAAACTGTTTCCTGAAACTATCAGTTCTTGAAGGTTCAATAGGTTCCCAAGCTCAGGGGGCAATGTACCGGTAAACCCATTTGAGGCCAAGTTCAATAGCGTCAAATTCGAGCACTTTGCAAACTCTGGATTTATGCTTCCTGAGAAATAGTTACTATCAGCTTCAAAATAAGTAAGGCTAGTGAGATTTCCTATACCAGAAGGAATGCTCCCCACCAGCTTGTTGTTCCCAATTCGAAGGTTTGATAGGCCTTTACAGTTCTCGACTGCTTCAGGTAGGGAGCCATTAAGCTGATTCAAGGTCAAGATAAGGACTTCTAACTTACCAGAAGATAAAATGCTCGCTGGTATTGGCCCTTCTAAATGGTTTGAATGGAGATTTAGAATACGAAGCTCAGAAAATAAACCGAAATTTTCTGGTATTTTACCTGTTAATTTATTCTCATAAGCTAAAAAGAGTTTCAAATTTGTTAAGTTTCCAACCCAACTAGGTATTTGGCCTTCAAGACCATTGCCAGAGAGCTGAAGCTCCTGTAACTTTTCTAAACCTCTGAGGTCTTCAGGTATTTCACCCGTGAGCCGGTTCTGGTTCAGGTTAAGAGACTCTAACTGGTTCAGTGAAGAAAGCTCAGAAGGGATACCGCCATTTAATAAGTTGTTAGAGAGGTTTAAGGATCGAAGGCTTCTGAGATTCCCGAGCTCAGGGGGTACGGAGTTTGTGAATTTGTTCCCCGATAAATCAAGGAATTCAAGGTCCGATAAAAACCCAAGAGCCGAAGGGATCTGACCATTAAGGTAATTGGAAGAAAGGTCTAAAAATTTCAGAGATTTGAGGAGAGAGATAGAGGAGATATTACCAGTGAGCTGTTGGCCTGAGAGCTTCAGCTTTTCCACTGATTGATCGGAGTTACAAGAGACACCAGTCCACGAACAATAGTCCGATACATTTGGGGTCCAAAAAGTAACTCCTAGCTCAATTTGCAGAGCTGCCATGGCTGCTTGATCAACACTTCCCGTAATGGCATTGGGTGTTTCTGATAGTAGAAGGAACAGAGAAAGAACGACCCAAAAGCCATTCATGGCTGGGATTTACCCGAGAAAAAACTGCTTCTTCTTCTTATTTCTTTTTTCTGTCAAATCCAGAGCTTGATAGAGAAGTGCTCTTGATCAGGACCAGGAAAATGCCAATAGTGGAAGGGGAAAAGATATGGGTTTTTTTCACAGGTTCTGAAATTCCTTGAATGGAGTTCATGTGCTCCTACAAGAGCATAACCAGTCTGATACAAGCCATTTATTTCTCCAACTCTGGCAGATGCTTTCTCTCTCTAAACTTCATGACCATGTGAATAAAGCATTTCTTCAATAAAAGAACAAACCTTGGGTCTTTTCAGGCTCTGAGACCACTGATACACCCAACTCTTCATTGAGAACTTGAAAGACAAGTTTTCCTTGCAGGGACCCAAACTGTTTTCTGAGTTTTCTCTTAGTTATATCAACACAATGACATATTTGGAGGAAGGAACCTCTTTTTCTATCTGGTGCAAAATCCAATTTTGCAAGAGAGAATCTGACATCAGTGTGTGGGTTTGAGAGAGAGAGAGGGTGCAAAACCCAATTTTACAAGAGAGAGAAAGATTATCTGACATCAATGTGTGGGTTAAAAGAGAGAGAAAGCATATGCAAGTTATGCTGAGCCAAAAAGGGAAAGGTATCAAACAGCTGAACAGAATGTTAAAGAGAGCTTATACTGAACGCCCTGTGCGTGTTTTAGACAGAGAGAGAGAGAGAGAGAGAGAGGTTTAAACTGACCCCATATGAGAGATAAATTGCGGACCCGAATGTTAGAGAGAGATTATACGGACCCAATGTTTTTTTCTCTCATAATAACCAGCAACACAGGTCAGGTACATATGAAGGCATTTTCTACGATATTAGGGTTTGGGAACAGGACCGGATGAGGTTTTATGAGATGGACATCACAGTCACAGCCCAAATATTCATCACAGAGTTTCAATCTCACAACCCAAGAGCAAAAACCATATTCTCTCCACTGCTACTACAAAAAATATAGATACGCAATATTTTTCTCAGGTTAATGCCCTCTCTCTCTCTTATCAATCAAACAGTGTCACTTTTCTCCTATTTATTTGTATATTTTTCCATATAGAAGACCCAGGACTGAATTTTCATCACGGGTTACACACAGTCCTCAGTCAATAAAGCAGGCAGTGTCAGTCAATTTAACCTCTCTCTCTCTCTCTCTTTAAGCTCTGAGCTCTCTCTAACAAACATGCAACTCTCTCTCAAATAAACATGCATCTCTCTCTTCTTTTCTCTCTCTACCTCTCTCTCTTTCTCCTTTTTCTCTCTCTAAGGAGCCCGACTCACTCAAAATGCCAGGACTGGTCAGTCCCATAATCAGAAAATATGTCATCAAATTTCAAGTTGCAGTATACTCAACATCAAGCATCATTAAGTTCAAAATAAAAAAGAAAGCTAAACTTTACTTTAGCTATGCATTTTATTTGACGAGACTTTAAAGAATCACCATTGACACAGATGTCTAAAAAAATCATAACAGCCATTTATGAAGAAGACCCACTACTGAGAAAGAATGAAGTTTCCAATTTTCCATATATTGTAAGGGAAAATATCAAAAAATTAATTTGACCCAAGACCAAATTATGAAGGAATAGAAGGGAAACCCAGTGTTTGCTGTTAATTTTTTAGACTATTGTTTATTTCTGTGTTATTTGTTTTTTTTCTATTTCTATATATTATTTCTTATAATGGTTGTATATTATGAGACTATTTACCATTGTTACAAGGATGATGTAATCACTTTTAACTATTAGATATCAAATTAAACTGCTTGGAGCAATGTAATAAAGTTTGAGAATTTTTTTTAAGGTAATGTGATAAAGTTTGAGATACATTTTTATGAACTTTGAGTGAGGTTAATGATACACTTACCACCACCCGATTTAAAATATGATGGCTGAGTATAATTATAACCTCTTTGTATTCAAAGTAGATAATATCTTTGTATACTTTTATACCATGAGATTGTATATTTTGTGACTATTTATTATTGTTATAAAAAGATTACAATTATTTCTACTCATTAGATGTCAATTTAAAATAAGTTATGTGTTGCGATATCACTAAACGAAAAATATATCATTTATGACTAGGTTTTTGGGTTGGTAAACACAAAGTTATAAAAAACAAATAAAAAAAGAAAAAAATAAATGGAAATAGATATTGGGTCCAGTCTCCTCGTTTATTGGCTAGGTTATGAGCCACAGCACTAGGGTCATGGGTCCACCACATTATTACCCTACAATTTAGAAAAGAGAAACAAAACCAGGGAGAGAATAAAATAGAGATGGAACCCAAATACCCATTAGTAAAAACAAGAGAATGGAGAGACACAGAACGAGAGGGAGAGAGAGTTTGTGCTTTTTAGTATAGGACACGTAGCTGGCCCGTATATTGTAGAGATGCGGGCTTGCCAATAAATATATTTTTAAAATATAATTTGATTTTAATTTTTAGAGAATATATAATCTTTAATATGGAGGTTATGAATATGATTTTTTTTAAAAAAAAACTAAAAATAATAGTTATATTAAAAATATATTTGAACGGTTTGCATCCATCTTTAAGAAGGATGTTTTATACCTTTGGACTGTATAATGTAGAAATACGGTCCAGCCTGCATGAAATAATTTTCTTTTAATGTATTGAAAAAACGTTGCTACATTTCACCCTTTGTTGAGACGTTCCCTCTTTTCTTCTTGCTCAAAGAGGTGGTTTGATAGAATGAAAATTGTATCATGCGGTCTGGACCACATAACTACATATGCGGTCAAAAAAGTGTAAAGCATCCATCTTAAAGATAGATACAAGTAGGTGGTTCCATCTAAAAATAATAGAAACTAACAAGTCCAAATGTTTTCTTACTAGAATTATTATTTCTAGATTTTAAATTTTACTTTATTTTATTTATATTCATGATCTCTGTGTTAAAGATTACATGTCCTTAAATCCATCTAAAAAATACATTTATTAATCGGCTGGCATTCCTAGATATGCATGCTTGACCGCATAGAAACCGGGTCCATGGTAGAATCAGTTGTCTCGCTTTCAAGTAGGAGAAGCCCCTTTCTCAAACAGTTTTTGCAAATCGGAAAAGGTCCAAACCCGAATCAGCCTGGTGAATGGGCCTTATGGAAACCTGGTTCAAATCGGCGAATTGCCTATCAGTGTGAATCTAACGGATCTCTAGTTTGATAATTGGTCCATAAGGATAAAATAAATTGAAAAAAAAGGAAGAAATGCAATAAAAAATTATAATATATGGGAAATAGGCAATTAGGTCGTCGTCCGCTTCCTTAACACTCTTTGCTGGTTCTCTGATAGGAGCATATGAGTCCATACTCCATAGAAGCCAGACCGATATCTGGTTTCGATAAGGAACTGATAGATTCTCAAACTAGATCGATAATTCCTTAACTGGATCATATTTCTAGATAAGAATCAAAGCAACCCCTCAAGTAGTCATGTTTTCTTTGTAGACCGCACATCATGTGAGCACACCAAAAGGTGGTGGGCCGGAGTTGCTAGGCACTGACTATGTGCACCTGAGTTGGGCCGCCGAGTTCGAATTCAATATGGGGTAGTCAACAATGCAATAAAGTTGAGATTTCTCAAATCATAATCGCCCACCTCCCAATCCTTATCAGACTGGATAAGGTTGAGAATTGGTCGGATCGGGTCCAAATCCATCGAGATCAGGATTCAAATATGAAAAGTCAGTGAGATTTGGATATAGATATGAATCCGAAAAATATAATGGGATCCAGATGATCGGATCTAAACAAATTATTTTATATCTATAAATAATATATAAAAAAACTACTATTTATATAATATGTCGAATCTATACCCAGATCCAAATAGAATCCGAAATTCAAGTTTCGGATCCAAACCGGATAAATTCTCAACCCTAAGACCGGAGCAATACGGAGTCTATGTCATTGAGGAGAACCCATTGTTTGAATCTTTCAGAGCGGTGCATTGGGAGGGAAAATTAGTGACATTTTTCTAGAGGGAGACCCCACAAAGTTTGGTGGAGAGAGGACTCAGGCTGGCTATATGACACTTTTTTGAGTTAGGTCGTCCTTAAAGCCTAGAAGCATACCTATGCTTTTAGTTTTATTTCAGGTTTAAACACAAGGTGTCCTTTAATTTTAACCTTGGAAGGGATTTAAGAAAATATTTAATATGTAAAAGGAGACATGGTGGGGTCATACATGTCTGATGACAGTAAGTAGTACACTGGACCATGATAAAAGCAATAAAATTCCCTTCTATCTATGTCTCTTTTTGTTGTATTATTCTCCAAGGAAACCCATATATACTCGTGACTGACCTAAATTCTCTCATTTATAACGCAAATATTCTATAAAAAGATCCTTATTAATTACCAAAATATCAAAAAAGGGCTGAATATTCAATTTGTTTTTTTTTATATTTTCCTAATGAAGTGTCTATGATATCATATTAAGCATTTCCCTAATTTTGATCAAATTATCAATGATATTAAGCATTTCGCATATTTTGATCAAATTTTCAAAACAAGGGATACTACTAGCTGGTAGATCTCCCTATAATTTTTCAATTTTTTTTAGTTGTCTAACTTCAGTTTTGGCCAAATTGGTTTAGCATGATTGGTTCAAATGATATTTGTAACCTAATGCCAAACATTCAGGAAACCTTTTTGGTAAGGCGGCCGACTCGGATGTGTGCCCTGGTTTTCAAGGATTTTATGGCCTAGATTGTATCTCAAAACATTTGCACAATCCATTTCAACCTCATATCCATGAATTTGGTCGGGAAAAAACAACGTAGATCTAATGATCTTCGAAGAATTGAAATGAATGCTCTTAGAGTAGAAGTACTACATGAACTGATTGTAAAGCTGAAAATTTCTTTCTTTTTTAGTTTTATATATTCATGATTGTAGTGGACGAGATAACCGATATATAGAGCTTTGGATCTAAAATCCATATCCAAAATCAAATACGACAGACGGGCGACCTCACGACAATAGGTGCACACCTTAACCCTAAATGTATATACATTCTTTCAAGGTTTCCGGGTTTATAAGTAGGAATTCAGTAAAAATAGAAATCTAAAGTTGTTTTTAGCATTAAGAAGGCTTCAATGGTTATAATTGGAGAAAAAACCTTTTTGATGCTCTTGCAAACAATAAAAGTTATTTGAGTTTGGAAATGTTAAAATAAAAGCATAAAGTTCATAATGGGACAAGAGGGCTTTGGGACAGTTTTAGAAAGAATTGAGGACGGAATTGATATTCCAAGAAAGATTGTTACGAGTGTGTCGGATATTGTGTTGTCTTATGGATATGCACTTCATCACTTTTCTAAAAACTGGACCATCGGATCTTACCTGGATTTGGCGTAGTCCAATCGGATCAGGAAGTGGTCGGTTATGGGTGAAAAATTCCTCAAATTACTTGATTATTTTTAAATTTTTCATGTAAAGTGCATTAGGTGCGACATGGGAATACAAGGGATTGGGTGGCAAGCTGGGCCCGACCAACCCGCCCGACTAGGTTCTACATGGATATGGACCTAACTCCCGGATCTTATTTGGATGCGGACCAGATCAGACCAAGGTCTAAAAATTTAAAAAATAAAAGAAAATTTATCTTGTATAATACATTTTATACCTGATAGCGTCCAAGCCAGACCTAAACCCAACCCGAGTCGGGTTCAAGTCATTGGGACCTAGACCCCACTTGCAGGGTTCGAAACATAGATCTAGACCCATACCCGGTTCAGGTCGACCTACGAAGTAGGCGTGTCGACTTGAACCAATTGCCACCCGTAGACAAGGGGATCCAAGATTGGAACCTTGCCAATTCCGGATCCGATTCCGACTTCTTGAACACTGGCATCAATATAACATATGCCCTGAACCGACCATCTTAATCGACTCCTGTTTGATTGAGAAAATAATTGAAGTCTGAATAACATTGCTACTAGTAATTTAGTCTTTTATATAACCCCCCACTTTCTAAAAAAACCCGAAGGCATTGAAGGAGTTTGAAATCTTTAACTGTAATTGTTGGAAAGCACTGAAAATACGGACCATAAATTCTCTTTTACACCACATCGGAGCAGTTCATTGTGGGACCTTAGTGATCATAATGGGATGTGATTCTCAAAAGCTTGGTTTTAAATACAAAAGGTGGGTTTTAAATATAATATTGAGTTAAATGATATAAGTCAAAAGCTCCAATGAGACCACTCTTGACTTCTCTCACGTAACTTTACTTTCCCAGGAATCCGAAAAAGTTTAGTGCATCATGCCCCTCTTCTTCTCTCTC